TGTGGAGAAGTCTTCAAAGTATTCTGCCCACCCACTCAAAATGTCCTGAGTCAAGATCAGCAGCGCCCCATCCCCACTGTACACAGTGAGACATCAGACAGTGAAACAGAATTTCCTCAAAGCCATCCGGAACTCGGCTTCCATGGCCTCACTGAATTCTTCCCATGGCCGTGTTTTTGCCTCGGCGACCGCTGAAGCTGCGTTCCGCTTATCCATCAGTTGCCTCTGGAGTCCCACAAGACATAAAGGCCTGATAGGGCTCCTTTATCAGCTTGACAGCATCCCTTACTACCGGTGTCAGTACTGCCTGACATGATGTGACACAAAGCAGTACTACAGACTTTCCAGTAGACGGGTTGTTTCGATATGCGAGCCCTCGGTTATGCGGAAACCATCGAAACGGTATTCCTTTCCTTGCCAAACGCTGTTCGAAATCTGCATTGCACACGTGTCCGTGATTCATTCTTATCAAACTCTCAAAAAAACAAAACCGCCTTCTCTTTCCAGTGAAATGAAAACAGTGCAGAAAGTTACGCAAAACGTAGAAACATTGAGTGTGATGTCACAATCGCCTGACAACACCACCGTAGTTCACCTTTCAAGCGAAACCAGTTTTATCTTGTTACTCTTGTTGTTTCCTAAGATTTGAGTTTTGTAAAGTGACAGACTTATGAAACACCCTGAAGCCCCGAAACAATGGCATCAAAATCCGCCGGCAGAAAGTGTGTATGCCTGACACACTCTGTTGTTGTTGGTGGTGCTAGATGTACAACAGTCACAGAGAGAGCATGACTTTGATCCTTCCTGAGGTGTTGTCATGTGCGGCAGATTCCCGTGGCGGAGCGCGGCGAGCTGGTGCGCCAGGGCGAGCTGACGGTGTGCGGTGGCACCCGGCGGAAGCGTGTGGGTGTCAGGCGGGTCTTCCTCTACCAACACGCCATCATCTTCACCAAACAGAAAAGCGGAGGAGGAGGCGGCGGCGGCGGTAGTAGTGGACCGGGACGATCGTCCTACAGCTACAAACACAGCATGAAGGTGCAAAAGTACTCACGCTCGGTACTCGAGTACAAATATAGATCCAGTCCTGTTCAAAATAGAAGTGCTTAGTACTATATAGTAACTGCGTATAGGCACAGTTCGGAGGAAAAAAAAAAACAGAGCACACAAAAATAATAAAATATCCACAAAATAGTTTCCCTCTTTCAGCATCTGAAAAGGCTGATTAGAGAATACTACAGTAAGGAAGTATTTGGACTTTGTTTCTTCCCACTCATTCCCGCGACGTCACGCTCCCCGCGCAGACGGCCGACATGGGCCTGACGCAAAGCGTGGGCGAGGACGGCGTCAAGTTCGAAGTTTGGATACGACAGGCTCCTCGCCTCAAGGACTGCGTCACGCTGCAGGCTCGGGACGGAGAGCAGCGCAAGGCCTGGACTCGGGACGTGGCTCGCCTGCTGTGGACGAACGCCATCAACAGCACAGGTGAGACGCGCTGCCGGGGGAGCGAGTCTGAGCAGGAAGTTCTCCAGTGGAGTCTTTCCAAAGTTTTAGCCAAGAAATTCTCAAGTAGTGAAGATGGTGATTCAAGTCTTGCGACCGGCGCGCCCCACTTCTGGGGCTTCTTCTGTCTGCTGAAAAAAAATGAACATTTCCACATGCAGAGTTGTGTCTGAAGGAGTCGCTGTGCGTGGGCGTGTCCAGCAAGCTCCTGCTGGACGCAAGTGGGAGTCAAACGTCAGAATTGGAGAGAGGTGAGGGCCGCGCGACGCCTTTGGAAACTTTTGCACTTTGTCCAATCTCTCAAAATCTCTTGCGCTCATTAGTGCATAGCAGCTGCTCTGACTCCTCGTCCGTCGGTAGTCACAAGGAAGGTGGGGGCTCCCCGGCGTCAGGGAGGGGCACCAGGAGGAGCTCTGCCAGCTGCTCTCAGGTACGCAACGCACACCGACACACACACGGCTCACTGGGTGCTTACATAAATCCATCCATCCATTTTCCGATCCGCTTTATCCTCACAAGCGTCGCGGGGGGTGCTGGAGCCTATCCCAGCCGTCTTCGGGCAATAGGTGGTGGACACCCTGAACCGGTTGCCAGCCAATCGCAGGGCACACAGAGACGAACAACCATCCGCGCTCCCACTCACACCTAGGGACAATTTAGAGTGTTCAATCAGCCTGCCATGCATGTTTTTGGAATGTGGGAGGAAACCGGAGTACGCGGAGAAAACCCACGCAGGCACGGGGAGAACATGCAAACTCCACGCAGGAAGGCCGGAGCTGGGTTTGAACCCACGACCTTGACCTGTGAGGTCGACGCACTAACCACTCGACCAGTGGACTGCCAGG